GAGAGGGCAGGGTGCGAGCTACTAGTGGTGGAGAGCTACGAGCAGCAGAGGGTGGGGCGAGAGCTACTAGCGGCGATGGGTGGGGCAGCCAGCTGAGACAAGCGGAAGTGAGCTACTCGTGCACAATTCCGTGCGCACTGGGCCTCTAGTAATTTATAATCATTTACCAATTTTGGCCTTCTTCAGGGACCCTTACAGTAAAGTAAGGATCTTGTCTTTTACCCTTAATGAAATGGGGAGCTTGCAGGATTTGCTAGTAACATGACAAATTTAAAAAGGATCCTTTCGATGTTTAAGAGTAGACTGAAGGGGGCAAGGTACACCAGTTAAAAAGTTTATTGCAATAAACTGGGTGAGATGATGAGTGGTACTCCATTGTGTGACTGTACCACATTTTTCTTATCCATTAACTTTTTACTTCAGTATTATTGACACATGATGTTGTATTAGTTTAAGGTATACAGCATAATGATTTGATACATGGATGCACTATGACATGATTCCCATAATAACTCTAGTTAACATCCATCACCTTACATCAGCAATTTCAGCTGGTGTGCTGCAAGAATATTTAGAACATGCAATACCTGACTAGTCAGAGGCACTGACTTCCTTTATCTTAGACTGTCAAATAAAAAAAAAAAATGACAATAGCCAACACAATAGTAGCTGTTCCATGTGAATGCCCTGTCTTGCACCATAAATATATCGGTCATATAACAGAGTTGTATCTTATTGGTCACATAATAAGGTTGCATCTGATTGGCTAATTCTTGGTACCAGAAATTAACCAATGATTTTTAAAAAGTCAGTTTAAAGCAAAAATGGTAGGTAATTACTGTTCTTACATTTTTTTGTAAGTAATTCAAAATTATACCTATTTCTTGTCAGATCAGCAAAATATATAATATATTTTTTGGTGTGCCACAGAATTTTAGTAATTAGTTTATATGTGCCATGAGATGAAAAAGGTGGAAAATCACTGCTTTACATAGTTACAATATTTTTCTTATGATGAAAACTTTTAAGATCTCCTCTCTTAGCAACTTTCAAATATATAGTGTAGTATCATTACCTACTAGAGGCCTGGTGCATGGATTCATGCACTGGTGGGGTCCCTCAGCCTGGCCTGCAGGGATCCAGGGAGGAGCTGCTCCCACTCATCCCAGCCCCCGCTCATCCTGGTCAGCTGAGCGGCACTCCCGCTGTGGGAGCGCACTGACCACCGGGAGCAGCTCCAGCGTTGAGCATCTGCCCCCTGGTGGTGAGTGCGCATCATGGCGACCAGTCGACTGGTAGCTTAGGCTTTTATATTTATAAACTAGAGGCCCGATGCATGAAAATTCGTGCAAGAGTAGGCCTTCCTTATCCCAGCTGCTAGCACTGGCTTCCCTCTGGCACCTGGGACCCAGGCGTCCCTCCTCCAGCTGCCGGCAGGCACCCGTGACCCAGGCTGCTTCCCTCCTCCGGCTGCCCTCAGGCACCAGGGACCCGGGCCGGCTTCCCTGGGGCTCCGGCTTTGTCAGGAAGGACATCTGGATGTCCGGAAGGTCGTTTGGCTGTCTGGTCTAATTACCATATCACACTTTTATTATTATAGATAGTTACCATGCTATATATTACATCCCAGAGCTTATTTATCTTTTAACTGGAAGTTTGTACCTTTGACTACCATTCCCCCCACCGTTGGCTTCTGGCAATCACCAATTTCTTCTGTTTCTATGAGCCCTTTTTGTTTTTGTTCTTGGATTCCACATATAAGTGAGATATATAGTATTTGTCTTTGTCCAATTTACTTTACTTTGCAAAATGCCCTTAAGGTCCATCCATGTTGTCCCAAATGGCAGGATTTCCTTCTTTTTTATGGCTAAATAATATTCCAGTGTGTGTGTGTGTGTGTGTGTGTGTGTGTGTGTGTGTGTGTATTTCACATTTTCTTTATCCATTTATCTGTTAATGGACACTTAGGTTGTTTCCATGTCTTGGCTTTGTGAATAATGTTGCAGTGAATGTGGGAATGCAGATATCTTTTCAAGATAGTGATTTTGGTTCCTTTGTATATATGCCCAGAAGTAGAATTACTGGGTCATAAGGTAGCTCTATTTGTAATAGTTTGAGAAACGTCCATACTGTTTTCCACAGAGGCTGCAGCAATTTACATTCCCATCAACAGTGCACAAGGGTCCCTTTTTTGCATGTCTGCATCAGCACTTGTCATCACTTGTCTTTTTGATTATATCATTTCAACAGGTGTGAGGTGATGTCTCATTGTGGTTTTTTTTTTTTTAATCCTCACCTGAGGATATTTTTTCCATTGCTTTTTTCAGAGAGAGTAGAAGGGAAGGAGGGCGGGGGAGGGGAGAGGTGAAAGAGAGAGAGGGAGAAGAAAAGAGAAACATCAGTGTGTGAGAGACAAATTGACTGGTTGCCTCTCGCATGAGCCCTGACTGAGGGTGGGAGTGGACCTGAAACCCAGGTATGTGCCCTTGACTGGGATCGAATCCAAGACCTTTTGGTGTGCAGGTCAATGCTCTAACCATTTAGCAACACTGGCCAAGGCTCTCATTGTGGTTTTGATTTGCATTTCCCTGATAATTAGGGAGTGTTCACTTGTTGATAAACATTTGTGAGTTTTTTTTTTTCCTGTTTTGGGGTGTTTTGACTAAGGCATCTGTGAATATTCATGTACAAGCTTTTATGTGAACATAAATTTTCAGGGCTTTTGGCTAAATCTCAAGATAGTGATAACAGTGGAATGATTGGATCCTTTGTTAAGTCTGTGTTTAACTCCTAAGAAACTGCTGAACAGTTTTCTAAAGTGGTTGTGCCTTTGTACATTTCCAAATACAATGTATGAAAGTTCCAATTGCTTTACCTCCCAGTGGGCATGCAAGCCATTCTAATAGGTGTGTAATGTTGTCTTACTATGGCTTTAATTTGTATTCTTCCTGATGGCTAATGCTGATGGTGTGTGGATTTTAATTTGTTGATCTGAAAAGTTGAAACTTTGGTTCCTGTTCGCTGAGGCTCATAATAACTTTTATTTATTTATTCATGTATTTTCAATCATTACACTTTTAAAAATTTTATCTTTTCCCCTTAATTTTCATTCCTCACAATCCTATATACTAGTAATAAAAGGCTAATATGCAAATTGTCCCCTTGGGAGTTTGACCCACTGGGAGTTTGACTGCTCACTATGACGTGTGCTGACCACCAGGGGGCGGCCCGGAATGAAGGCAGCCAGGGGAAGGAAAGCCCCAATCAGCCCTGATTGCAGGCCAGGTTTAGGGATCCACCTGTGCACAGATTTTGTGCACCGGGCCTCTAGTAACTTATAAAATTACTCAAAAGGTAGACTATGATTTATTAAAGGTTGATAGTGGCCTATATCATTCATGGTTTTGTTGTTTGGAAAATGAATACATTTAAAAGGAGAATGTATAATATGATATCATTAAATGTCAAATCTTACTTCCAAGTCATGTATGTCTGATAGTGTAATTTAAATTTTACATAGGGTCTGGCTGTTACTTTCTATATTTTATCATTTGGTAGCATTCTGTGTGATAATAACAGGTCTAGGAAACATACATGATCTCTAAAGAGTTGGCTGAAATGAGAATTGTAAATTATCTTTTAGGTTCCCGATGTTATCAGCAGCATAAGGCAGTTGTCTAAAGCTGCCATGAAAGAGGATGCCAAGCCCAGCAAAGACAACGAGGATGCCTTCTACAACTCCCAGAAGTTCGAAGTCCTGTACTGCGGGAAGGTGACCGTGACCCACAAGAAGGCCCCGTCCAGCCTCATCGACGACTGCATCGAGAAGTTCAGCCTGCACGAGCAGCAGCGCCTCCGGGGCCAGGGCGAGCACGGCCCTGACGCCGCCAACCACCGGGCCGTCTTCGAGGTGGAGGGGCCCAGCTCCCCCGCAGACATTCTGTTGGAGGAAGACGATGACATCCCCGACACCCACCCTGCCTTGCCAGCCGTGGCCACCCAGCCTGCGCTGGCCAGCTCTCGAGGTTGCTTCCCAGAGAGGATTTTGGAGGATTCTGTCTTTGATGACCCGCAGGAGTTCCGCTCCCGGTGCAGCAGCGTCACCGGCCTGCAAAGGAAAGTCCCAGAGAACAGCCACAAACCACAGCCACGAAGGCGACACGCCAGCGCGCCCAGCCACGTGCAGCCCTCGGACTCGGAGAAGAACAGAACCATGCTGTTTCAGGTGCTGCCCTGCAGGGGTCTCTGCGGCTCCTCAGCCCTTGCTAGGCAGAAGCACTCATTCTGCAATAATCCAACTTTTATTTCTCCCCTCCTTGGGAAGCAGATAGGGCAGGTGGAGAAAGAAAGGAACGGAGAGCAGGGCTGAGAGACAGGTGTGGACTGTGGATTGTAAGAAATGAGGGAGCAGGGAGAGATGGAGAAAAAAGCAATTAAAGAAAGGAGATTTCTGGACAGCTAGTGGAAGGCGTAAGAACAGAAGATGACTCTTACTATGACCAGCAATTTGCCTTAGGGGGATTCGTAGATAAAAGTTGCTGTTTTTTTAATAACTGTAGAAAGCCAGTTTTTGTTGTTGTTATTGTTTATGGGAGTCCACAGTGACCTTCAGTCACGACTTTTACTTCATTTGGGATCCTGAAGGGACGGTTTTATCTTTACCTTTTTTTCCAATCCTCACCCAAGGATATGTTTATTGATTTTAGAGGGAGGAAGGGAGAGAAGACATAACTCCCCGGTCAGTAGCCATGTGCCCTGACTGGGAATCAAACCCGCAGCCTTTTGTTGTGTGGGTTAATGCTCCAACCAACTAGCCACACAGCCAGGCCCCGAAAGTCAGTTTTCTAGATGATTTAAGGACGTGAATCTGGAGAGTGAGATTAGGCACGGAGGAGAGGAAAAGGAAAAGTCCAGAGGCTTATAGGTGTGTTTTCAGATGAGATTATACACAAAAGAGAAGGTTAAAGAAGCACCAGAGGCCTCATTATCTATTGGATCAGGGATTAAAATAATCTGGTGCATGCTGTATTTATTGTAGGTGTAAAAGATACCGTCTTAATTATAAAAAGTTTTTGAAGTTTTACAGGATATCACTTAAAAGAGCTTAATTTGTTACAAAGCCTTGTAGAGGTTCTTTAATCCTGAGTTTGTAAGGTTAGTTTTCTTAAAAAAAAAAAAAAAAGTGTTGCTGTCCTTTATATCCTGTTATAAAGAACCCAGGAAAAGGAAATTCCACAGCATAACTTGGTAAACAGTCCCTGTGTGTAATATTTCCTTTATCAGAAGTTCATGAGTTCTTTAGTTTTGTTCTTTTAAAAAAGTTAATATCACTCTAAGCGTATTATTAAAGTGTCTATCGTCTTGCCTTTGGTGACGTGTTAACTGTTGACCCTCTTCTTTAGGCTGTCGGATTTATTCTTTTTCTTAGCTAGCCACAGTCCATGATGTTAATTTTTCTGAAGAGATGTTTATTTAAAAAAAAATTTAATTATCTGTCCAATGGCAAATGGTATATCTTTTTGTTGACCATTTGGGAGAAAGTATGATCATAAATTATAATTGAATAATTGGTATTTTTAGAAAGCACAAAGTAAGGAAAGGTTACATTTTTTTTGAAGAGACAATCACTTTTAATCTGAAAACAAAAGGTATCTTGTAAATTAAGACCAACTTAATTGTTATGATTTTTAGATAAAAGAAAGAAGTTTTATGAGGCTGCTGATATTTGGAGTTGAAATATTGGTTGGATTGGATGATGAAGCACATGTGAATATGTATTTCTGGATATAGCATTTGAATCTACATTATTAGTTGAATATTTAATTATAAAGTAGGATGTTAGGCCCTTGAGTGTTGAAATTAATTGGAATGTTTTTATTTTTAAGGTTGGGCGGTTTGAGATCAACCTTATCAGTCCAGACACCAAATCAGTTGTGCTCGAAAAGAATTTTAAAGACATCTCTTCTTGTTCGCAGGTATGTACTGAAGTAGATCATAGCTTTGAGGAAACCAACCAAATCTTGATTCTAAATTAGCCACAAAGTAACTGGGCTTAAACATCTTCAAACTGGGCTATGCTTAAAAAAAATTAAAACATTTTAAGTGGATTTGTCTTAAATTGAGAGTGTTGATGTGTTTGTGTCTATGTCAGTAACAAAAGCCTGCTCCGGTTCCTCAGTGTCAGAATAGTTTGTCCTCATTTTCATCAACCCTTTCTCTTCGTAGCGTCACTTCGTTAAATTCGTCCCACTGTTGGAATTTTTGTGGTGGTGAGTTCTCTTGAAAAATACCTTCACAGATAGTGTTCCTCCAAGTCTTGGTCACTGGGACTTGTGGGTATCACTGAGTCATGTTTGCTCTTTACACCATAGTAGGCAGTAAAAGGAGAACCGGTACTTTCAAATTCTGTTAATGTAAAGCCTAAATTTTGAAAAGAAAATTTTGGTGTATTTTTGTTCTTCTGTTTATTTTAAATTCATAAACTGTGTCTTTGAAACTTGTTTAAATAGTTGATATAGTTAAATGTGTACAAGTCATATTAGACACAAACTAGTATCCTAAATACCATACTGATAATTTAGAATATCTATCCAAAAGTTAGAACTACCTAAATATTTTGTAAACATAGAAAAAAATTGTGAAGATGTTGGAGTAGAGGGAGTATCTAAATCTAAATATGGGCAAGTTAAAAATGCAAGGATGCCTCTGGAATAGAGAAGGATTAACTTCTTTCCTAGCAAGGTGACTTAGATATACCTACAGGGACCTGATTTTGTCAAGATCTCTTCCTATGTTTTAATGTTGAAAAATCAAGACTTTTTAAAATTGATTTTTAGAGAGAGAGGAAGGGAGAGGGAGAGAGAGAGGGAGAGAGAGAGAGAAACATTGATGTGAGAGCAAAACATGGATTTGCTGCCTCCTGCATGCCTCCTACTGGGGATCTAGCCCACAACCCGGGCAAGTGCCCTGACCTGGAATTGAACCAGAAACCTTTCAGTGCACGGGGTGATGCTCAACCAACTGAGCCACACTGGTCAGAGCAAGACTGTCTTTAAAAAAAATTGTTTTTGGAGTTAGCATTACCATAGGTATGATATTAAGACATTTTCCCCTTTGAAAATGATAAGCTTTTGTATATCTTGTTAATTATTCACTTCAGCCTCAGCTAATGCTGTTTCATTTTGTTCTATTATGTGAATACGTAAAATTATGTTGTAAAGGTAAAAATTTTCTACTCTAATAAGAGATAGAAGCAGCATATCTCTATAGGAAGAATATATTCCAAATTTTTAAATTGCCATTTAAAAGACAAAAAATTGAGTAGAAAGATTATTCACTTTAACGGAAAAAGTATTTATTGAGCATTCTCATAATTATCTGTTTACTGGGAGTCCCTGCAAGATCCTAAGCTCTGTGAGGGCAGGTGTTTTATTCTGTGGTGTCTTATACAGAGCATCAGAAGAAGATGTGTTAAGACAGATCTTAACACTTAGGTATTCAGTAAATGTTGAGTGGATATTTCTACATGTAGGGCCTTGTGCCAAGTACTGGGGAGAGAGTGGTGTATAAACTAGTGTAGTTATTGCTCCCCTCCCCCCAGAGCACAAAGGATCATCCTAAAAAGTGCTGCTCACCCCGCAGTCCCCAAGCCTTTCTGTAAGAAAACTGGCAATGCTCATTGAACACCCAAAGGGGAAAAAAAATAGTTAAAAAACAACAGCAAAAAACCCAGCCAAGTCCAATATGTAAAACTGGCAGGTCAAATGTGGTTTTTGCTTTTCCCTTTCTTTTTTAAAAAGCAACCTTTCTGTTCTGACATTCTACACAAAAATATGACAGAAATTTGTGGAAAGGCCTTTGAATGGAATAATTGTCAGGTTAACCCTGAGTGGCTCTGCTCTTATTACTTCTTTCCCCAGAATTGAACTGATATCATGTGGCCACTTCCAGGAATAGGCCTGTTTTTTAACACATGCACACCTACTGAGGTTTCATTCTTTGGAATCAGTAGGACTGTGTCTTTGGCAAGCAAGGGGAACAAGAGAGTGGTTTACTGTACTGGAAATAGTGCCACTGCCTGAAACTCACTGAGCTAATGAGGTCCTATGAATTTCCCCCATTTAGTACTAAGCTAGTAAAGGATATTCTTTAATCACCAATGAGTTGTACCAGATGGAGCTGACTTTCACCTCATGAATTATAGCCTCACTCCTCACTATAGGTCAGAGCAAGACTGTCTTTAAAAAAAATTGTTTTTGGAGTTAGCATTACCATAGGTATGATATTAAGACATTTTCCCCTTTGAAAATGATAAGCTTTTGTATATCTTGTTAATTATTCACTTCAGCCTCAGCTAATGCTGTTTCATTTTGTTCTATTATGTGAATACGTAAAATTATGTTGTAAAGGTAAAAATTTTCTACTCTAATAAGAGATAGAAGCAGCATATCTCTATAGGAAGAATATATTCCAAATTTTTAAATTGCCATTTAAAAGACAAAAAATTGAGTAGAAAGATTATTCACTTTAACGGAAAAAGTATTTATTGAGCATTCTCATAATTATCTGTTTACTGGGAGTCCCTGCAAGATCCTAAGCTCTGTGAGGGCAGGTGTTTTATTCTGTGGTGTCTTATACAGAGCATCAGAAGAAGATGTGTTAAGACAGATCTTAACACTTAGGTATTCAGTAAATGTTGAGTGGATATTTCTACATGTAGGGCCTTGTGCCAAGTACTGGGGAGAGAGTGGTGTATAAACTAGTGTAGTTATTGCTCCCCTCCCCCCAGAGCACAAAGGATCATCCTAAAAAGTGCTGCTCACCCCGCAGTCCCCAAGCCTTTCTGTAAGAAAACTGGCAATGCTCATTGAACACCCAAAGGGGAAAAAAAATAGTTAAAAAACAACAGCAAAAAACCCAGCCAAGTCCAATATGTAAAACTGGCAGGTCAAATGTGGTTTTTGCTTTTCCCTTTCTTTTTTAAAAAGCAACCTTTCTGTTCTGACATTCTACACAAAAATATGACAGAAATTTGTGGAAAGGCCTTTGAATGGAATAATTGTCAGGTTAACCCTGAGTGGCTCTGCTCTTATTACTTCTTTCCCCAGAATTGAACTGATATCATGTGGCCACTTCCAGGAATAGGCCTGTTTTTTAACACATGCACACCTACTGAGGTTTCATTCTTTGGAATCAGTAGGACTGTGTCTTTGGCAAGCAAGGGGAACAAGAGAGTGGTTTACTGTACTGGAAATAGTGCCACTGCCTGAAACTCACTGAGCTAATGAGGTCCTATGAATTTCCCCCATTTAGTACTAAGCTAGTAAAGGATATTCTTTAATCACCAATGAGTTGTACCAGATGGAGCTGACTTTCACCTCATGAATTATAGCCTCACTCCTCACTATAGACTTTTTCCTTTTTATCAGAGTTGATTTCCTTTCACCATATCTATTGGGTAGTTTGAGCTTATTATTATAAGAACTAGAGGCCCAGTGCACAAAATTCATGCGGGGGGCGGGGGGGGTGATGTGGTGTCCCTCAGCCCAGCCTGCACCCTCTGCAATCTGGGACACCTCGGGGGATGTCCGACTGCCGGGTTAGGCCTGTGGGATTGGGCCTAAATTGGCAGTCGGACATCCCTCTCACAATCTGGGACCGCTGGCTCCTAACTGCTCACCTGCCTGCTTGCCTCTAACCGCCTCTGCCTGCTGGCCTGATTGCTCCTAACTGCTTTCCCCTGCCGGCCTGATTGCTCTCTAACTGCTCTCTCCTGCTGGCCTGATTGGCCCCTAACTGCTCTCCCCTGCCTGCCTGATCACCCCTAACCACCTCTGCCTCGGCCCCCGCCACTGTGGCTTTGTCTGGAAGGATGTCCAGGAGACATCCGGTCTAATTAGCATATTACCCTTTTATTAGTATAAATAGTGGTTACCATTTAGCAAACGTGCCAGGAACTATGATAGATATTTCTTAGTTCCAAATCACAAAAATGTTTTGCAATTAGTGCCATTTCCACGCTTTTATAACAAAAACTGGCGCCTCAGAGGTAATTACTAACATCCCAGAGCAATGCCTCATACCTTTAAGTGGTTGAACTAAGATTGAAACTCAAATCTGTCTGACTCCAAACCCCTGACCCTGCACACTTTTTTTTTCTTCTCATTGGGATTTAGGTTGATTGCAGGACAACTTTAAATTTTTGCCTACCTGGCTTTTCAAAATCCCATGCTTGCTATTAAAATAACAAGGTACTGTCTACTAATTGGTATGTATGTATTCAGGCTGACTGAGATTCACAAGTGACTCAGAATTTTTTAGTAAGTGTAGCTGAGTTTATTTAGCTGAGCCTACATTCAGGGAGCACAGTGATTTGTGCATTTGGATAACTGACATCTGCAATAATTTCTTTAATGTATCGTTTTCTAGCGGGTTTAGCTCCTTAAGGTCTATAAGTAGATAAATGTTCTAGTATTTTTAATGCACACTTTAGGGAATTGTATGCCATTTAATTAGAGCATTGTTAGATATGGCTTTTCTGATCCTTAGCCTTTTGGAAACAGGGTTTATGATGAATCACCCATTCACTGAGTAGCAGTTCATCATATTTTCCTTCTGTGGCACTGAGTAAACAGTGTTTGTCTGAAATAAAAAAAAAAAAGAGTTTTTGGTTTCATCCTTTATTTTATGTATCAAAAGGCCACCATATAAATTTGGTGTGACATTATGTTCCCTGTCACAGTGCTGGAAGGAGACTGGTGGAAGTGTGAAAGCATGGAACTAATGTTGATTTTCATAGCGTTGATTAAAAGGACATATTCCCATAAACACCACTTCTTTCCCTGCCAGGGTATAAAGCACGTGGACCACTTTGGCTTTATCTGTCGGGAGTCCCCAGAGCCTGGGCTGAGCCAGTACATCTGTTACGTGTTCCAGTGTGCCAGTGAATCTCTGGTAAGTGGTGTGATTGTTTCTGCCCAGAATTCCGGCTAACGGGAGGCACGTCTCTTATGACCCAAGCCTCACAGAACAGCCATCCGTGGAAAAAAGAAGAGGACGCCTAGAAGTAGGGTTCTGCTCTTTAAAGGAGCACAAGAATAGGGAAAACAGAAATTGCCATGGTAATTGTTAAGCCGAGATACTTTCTTGAGTTTAGCAAATCCAGTCATCTTAACAGGAGTATTTTTTTAAAAGTAGGAAAAGACTAATAATAGAAGAGCTGTTACTTTTTTCATTGCTCATGTAAGAATATATTCCCTTAATTGCTATAACATCTCAGAATACATAATGCTTCAGAGAATGGTTTTGTTTTATTTCATTAGCCCTGTCCTCATTTTGAAAATGCTTCATTCTTTATGGTCTTTAGTCTTCCTTTTCTTTCTTTGGGGTTTGAAAGTCGATTCATGTCTTCAACCCCCTCCACCTTTTATGCGGGCTGTTGGAGTTTGGAAGAAATATGTAAGGTACACTTGGAAATACATCTGAGTGAATAAAAATATATTGATATTTTCCCCTAAAATTTCTTCCTCTTTCTTCTACTTGTGTTATCTTTCCTAACCATTTTAACACAAACCTTTAGATATATCACCATCATTTGAAGAAAGATATTTCCTTAGACATAGAATGATGCTTCCACAAACATTTCTCCCACACACACCTTAGACATACTCAAATGAGCCAGGCAGCATTCTCTTCATTTTCTCGGTGCATGATCCCGGTGTGGCTCTTGCCTTCCATAGTCTCAGCCTGGAGACTGAGTTTGGGAATCATGAGGAAATGGAAGTGCATGGATACCAAGGTGCTTTCTGACTAGTGCCTTCTGGGTCTCAACCTTTTCCTCTGGGGATTGTAGTGTTCTTGCCACTGACCTTATTCGAGAGAGGTCCATATGAGTTTTGTTCTCACTCTAAGTAATTAACCACACCTATGGCAAAGCCAAATGCTGGTATCCAGGTGGCCACTCTGTAATAGTTCAGTTCAGGACTTGAGAGAGAAGTTTGAGGGTTGGTGTTACGTAGATGACAGTTGAAGGCATGGAAGTGGATGAGCACCCTGGGGGAAGTAGGAGAGAGAAAGCCAAAGAGAACCAATGACTCAATACTGGGAAGTGCCCACCAAGTAAGAGGTAGGCAGAAAGATAATGGAGGATAATCTGTCACCCACGCCCACTGCTCCACTGCCCCTGCTCAGCTCACTCGTTACTACTTCCCTTCTCTGTCCCTCTTTTCCACCAAGACCGATTCTTCCACCAGGTTTTGGATCCTTTACTCTCGTCCCTTCCCCAAATCTGTCATATGAGCCATATTTTATTTTGGCAGCTCCATTTATCCAACTTCTCAATTTAGAAACCACAATGCATTTTCTTCACCTTCTATACCCACTGTTCACCAAATTCTATTAACTCAAGATAGAAATATCCCTTATATCCATCTTGCCTCCCTTTCTTCTCTGTCTGCTCCTTGACTCTGGGCATTTATCTTCTTACACTATTGCATTTGTGTTCTAACTAGTCGCCCTGCCACTGGTTTAACCTGTCCCCTAGCCACAGTTTCCTTGCTCACAACATTTCCTCATCAAAAACCAATTTATGCATCCTTAGTAAGGGACAAAATCTAGATTGTCTAGCATGGCAGAGGGTTGCCTCATTCTCCTTCAATCCCCACCCTTTCACGACAACGTCCTCACACCTGCTGTTCTGTCCCCTGAGCTGTTCTCCAGGCCAGACCCCTGAGACAGAAGTGACAATCGGTGTGAGGTTCCTTTTGTTTGGTTTGCTGTTGAATCAGCAAATACTGTGTGCATGTGACTCATGAGATCTAGGATTTAAGTGAGTGTCTGGGGCTCACAGAAGTGCAGTTCAAGTTCAGAGGTCACTGCTGGTTCTCACATAGAGGGAGGAGTCTGCCGTGTCAGACAGCCAGAGCCAGGGCTCACTGCTTTTATGCTGCCTGGTGGGAAAGAGGCCACGTGGGCCTCAAGGGTCTGCCCTGCTGCTAAACGAGGAGATGGTGCCGGCCTTCGTTATCTATGTTTATATTCTCTTTCCTGCTGCTTCATTGGATGTGAAGCAGGCCTGGCCTTGCTCTCCTGTGGCCTGAGCCCACTTCCTCTTCTTTTCTACCATGCACATTTTAGGACCCAGCTTAAATATCACATCCTAGCGAAGCCTTTTCTGATGACTTTTTCAGGAATTGACTTCAGTTACTCTGTCGTCAGGGTGCTTGCTCTACCTTGTGCACTAGCAGGTCACTAGCAGTTCTTACAAATCCCCACACTTATTTATTTGTTCACAACTTCCTACCCCACTAGACTGTGCATGCCACGGGGCTGGGGTTGGCACCATTCGTATTCTTGTTGTATCCCCTCAGTGTTTCTAGGCTATTGGGGGCTTGGGAATAGTATTTTAATGATCAAGAGTGTATTATTCTTAACTTCAAGCAATCATTTTCTTAACTTCAAGCAATCATTTTCTGGGTCATCTTCGATGACTGGATAATCTACATTAAAAGGAAGACTGTGGAAACCTTCTTACTTCCAACCTCTTTTACAAGTTTTGCTTTGCTTGTAGTTTTAGTATATTTGTTTTACCCTCGTGCATATAGAATGGGTTTTGGAAACAGGGATTCAGAGTAGAAAGACGTGCTGCGTCTTTCCACCCTAACAAGCTCCGTGACTAAGGCAACAGACGAGACTGGCTGAGAATGCCTTCCTGGTACATAGAAGCTGGACTAGAATCCCAGTTTGGGCACCATTATTCTGAAGGACAGGCCCATGCTAGAATCTTTGAAACTCTGTTTATTCTAATTTTATCAGAAGGCATCTTAAACAGAACAGCTAGTCATCAGAACTGCAAGCCAGGAGAAAAATATGTAAATTTCCTGCCTAACAGAGGATGGGCCAAGCAGCTGACATATGGAACAAAACACAACAGTCAGTTAAATAGTATAGGTCTGAGCACAGTGTTATGATTGATGTGGCTTGGCAGTTGTGTAAAACAAAATATTGCAAAACCACAGCATGCTGACTTCTCTGAGTACAAAGAATACGCAACTAGCATTTTTTTTTGGTAGCAATTGCTGTGAATCGATAAATAGTATGGTGTTCTGATGGGTGCTGGAGTGTGATACTGGAAGTTTAGATGTTCAGTACTCCTTCCTGTTTAACCAACCCCTGAGGTTTATAGAAAATGTCATTTCTGTTTTCAACAAAATTGGTTTAAAAGGTGTGAAAAGATGAAAGTTACTGTTACTTATAGACAAGGAAAAAGTAAAACCCCACAGACAACAATATCCAGGGAAACTAGAACAATAACAAAAAAAGATCCAGGCTACCAAGACTTAGGTTTAAGTTTTTACAGAGAATTAGACTCCATAATCTTTTGAAGTCCTTACACATTCTGTGATTTTTAAGACTTATTCTAAAATGCTATAAAATACCTAAGTTTGGCATATAAATGTTTATGAACATTGTCTTCATTATGAATTTCACCTAAATATCATAAATTGGCTTTCTTTGTCTCATCTTGTACTTTTCACTGGAAGTTTGCTTTTGCCTGATAATAACAATAAGAATACTTTCTTGCCCTAGCTGGTTTGGCTCACTGGATAGAGCGTTGGCCTGGGGACTGAAGGTCCCAGGTTCGATTTTGGTCAAGGGCATGTACCTTGGTTGCAGGCACATCCCCAGTAGCGGGTGTGCAGGAGGCAGCTGATCGATGCTTCTTTCTCATCGATGTTTCTAACTCTCTATCCCTCTCCCTTCCTCTCTGTAAAAAATCAATAAAATATATTTAAAAAAAGAATACTTTCTTTTTGTTTGCAAATGATTGATTTATTTTTACCCATTCCTATACTTTTAACCTTTTAACACAACCTATGAGTTTTTGTTGTATCTCAACAAAAACAATTAAATTATTCACATTACATTAATTTGAAGTTGCAGTTTCTCTGTTCCTATAGTAGAACTCATAGGCCATATGGAAAAAAAAAGGTGGATTAAAAAAATAAAACATTTAAAATTTTAGAAGTCAAATAAAGTTTTTAGTAATATTTGTAGGCAGGAAGAAATTGGTAACCACATTTCAAACATAATTAAAATGGCCTTTTGATTCATCTGGAAATAGATAAAACATGAAAGTTTAGTATTTCTATTGGAGGGCTTTTACAAAGCAGTATTACTAAATATCAAATAATAACCCTATATGAAAGCTAATCCCAAGATAAATGAGAAACAAAAAAAAATAAATGAACAGTTGCATAAGTAATTGAAATTGCATTTTAATACATAACAAGGCAATGAAATCAAAATGTGAAGGCATTAAATGTAGTGATTTCATTTTCAAGAACTAGAAATCTTTATTTTTAATTACAGCATAAAAGAACATATTTTATGGATACTTCATTTTAATTCATAGAGTGATATAAAATTATTCATAAGCCTTTTCAGAGGTTGGTGATATAGTAAAACATAACTGAATAGTGACTGGCTACTTAGTATTTGAGCTCTCCTTTTAGTAATATTAGGAGAATAAGGTTTCTTTTTATTCTAAGTTCCGCATACACTCAAATGCAGAAGTAGATTGAATCCTTTAAATATTAGATTATTCTTCAATCAGGCCATAGGGGAAGGGGAAAAAGAGTCTTAAAAAAAACAAACCCCAAACAGTTTACAAGCATGGTGCATGGTTTTGAGTATCAAAGGTAGTTCTGATGAGCCCTTTGTACTCCATAGCCCCCCATGCAGAGCCCAGACTTTGACCACAGTTGGGAAAACCACACCTAACATCAATGTTTGTCTCCCAGAGAAGGCGACATGGCCTGAGGTTGGCTTGACAAGGCTTGAGAACGAGCTGTTAGTTGACCTGAAGGAAGCGACCAGGAAACTAGAATGCTAGGCTCACACTTATTGACTGAATCACTGGAAGAGCAAGGAAGAAAGTAGCTGGCAGTTTTTAAGCTGCTGGCCCAGTGGTGAGACCAGCTGTGAGACAACATGATATCAGAACTTCTTAGTGTCACCAATCAGAAGCAAGATGATAATAAATTAGAAGCCAAGAGATAAGATGAGCAACCTTTATAGTCTTCCCCAACATTGTTTAAATGGAATTCATTTACCCCAGAACTTTGCTTGAATATATTTCGTTTCTACACTAAAAATGACCCAGAAGTGTTATTGGTGGAAGTGGGGGATCTCCTTCCCCATTGGGTGCTGGGGGTCAGGTCCTTATGATATCTCGAGAAAAAAGAATTTTCTGAGACTCTCACGGGAGGATGAGATGTGGTAGGAAGTTTCATTTTCGTGGAATTACATCCCTGCCTTTGCAAAGCCCCATTCCCCTTAATCCAGTCCTGGGAGATGTGCAGCTGGGGATTCAGTAGAGGAGAAGCAAAGGCAGTGTCCAAAGTTTCCTTTCCCTGGCGAAGTTGGATCCAGTTTAGCATTAGGCTAGTTGCAGTCCATTAGTCCATTGTGTGGGGTCCATATGGCTGTGGGCCATGTGGGCGAATGCAGGGAAGCCAAGAGAGTGTGTCCCCTGCAACAGGAGGGCCACCCGGAGCCAAGAGAGCAAGAGTGACCTTCTTTGTTTAGGGGATTAGATATCTCAAATCTTCCCACACTTGCAGTCGCCACGGCGACTCTGGCCAATGACCTGTTTCCAGGTGTGATCGACAGAGGTCACCCAGACTTTACTGGGCAGGTGTCTATCAAAAAAAAACCCCCAGTGATCTGTGGGGAACAAACAGGTAGCCCCCTGGGGAGTGTTTAACTGTGGCTTTCTGGCAAAGCTGCACAAATGGCATGCCTATATTTGGTCTTTCCTTTTGCTCCTTTCCAGTTATTCATAACTAGGTTCATTACAATGGTATCAGAAGGACACAGTAAGTAGGATACCTGTTAACACAAGTGAATAGTAAACCTATTTTGTTGCTCCCTATATATTGCAGGTGAAACTTCCAAAGAGACCTTTGCCTGAGTAACGACTTAAACAGAGACCTGATTGACTATCAAACTGTCTGTGCTAGCATAACACTTAGTGGGATTCAAAAATAGCATTCCAGTAACAGACCAATCTTATGTTACACACATTAAAATGGTCTAATTTTATCCAGCTTTCAATTATATGTATAATGGAAGGTCTGACTTCGAGACAATATTTTCTAAGAGTTCTGTAGTCATCAAAATTCTATGATTTATTATTTAGTCAGCATCAATAAAGTCTCACATTGCTGTTGGGGTTGTGATGTGTTACCGTGAACGCAGACTTTTATAGACCTGAGCTTTGTTTCTTCCTGTAGGTGGATGAGGTAATGCTGACTCTGAAACAGGCTTTCAGCACGGCGGCCGCCCTCCAGAGTGCCAAGACCCAGATCAAGCTGTGCGAGGCCTGCCCCATGCACTCTTTGCATAAGCTCTGTGAAAGGATTGAAGGTACGGTATAGCTTGGCCTTTGCAAACGAGAAGTTTGCCTTGGCATTTGGGAAGTGAGAAAGCTGGTACTGTCATCAAAAGCTTCTTTGTTTTGAGGTAAAACAAGGACCCAAAGGATCATTTCTCATGTCCAGTCAAATTTGTGTTGTCAGTCTCTCTTAGGTGCTTGGCTTCCTCCCCTTTCTTTCTCTCGTTTTTTATTTTTAACTTTTTTTCTTTTTTTTTTCTGAGGATAGACTCAAGGAAGGAACTTGTATTTCCCACAGTTCTTAAGATGTGCTATGTACAGAGTGGGATCTGACCAAATATTTGTTGAATGAATGAAGAGAGGCAAAACCATCTCAGAATATTGTCTATTTAAGTCTTCCCTTTTCCAAATCCTTTTACTTGATGAGGTAGGCCTTCTCCTACAAGTTTAAGACGGGGATGAAATTGTGTGGCTTTGAGGGACATTTAAACACGACAGAGATAGTAGTGATATCCTAAAGCAGGTTTAAAAAAATGTTCTGAGGAGGGGAAGGGGCATGATTCACCTTCCTTTCTTCTTATGTCTTACTAACAAAACAGTCTTGAACAATACCGCATAGGAGAAGAAACACAATTTAATGAACACTTGTTATCCATCTCCTATGCACCAGGCACTGTGCTAGGCACTGGGGATTCAGAAGTAATTGAGATGAGGATGGTGCCTCTAGAAAGCTTGCAGGTTAGAGTGCAAGACAGGCATGTGAACCAGTAAATATAATTCAGCGTGATAAGTGTTACAATAGATGGGGAGAGTGCAAACTCCAGAACCGCGCAGAGAACGGTCTAGTCATTGTAAGTGCAGATTGTGGTTTCCCCTCAGTAGGCAGCAGAATCATGGGCACATGGCAGAATCGATGATGGCCAGTGGTTTATTGAATATCCATTCAACTGTGTGATCAAGGACTATTTAAATGTAATATTCAGATTTTAAAACTTGTAAGAGTGCCGAAACCGGTTTGGCTCAGTGGATGGAGCATCGGCCTGTGGACTGGGGGGCCCCGGGTTCGATTCCGGTCAGGGGCATGTGCCTGGGTTGCGGGCACATCCCCAGTGGGAGGTGTGCAGGAGGCAGCTGATCGATGTTTCTCTCTCATCGATGTTTCTGACTCTCTGTCTCTCTCCCTTCCTCTCTGTGGAAAATCAATAAAATATATAAAAAAAAAACTTGTAAGAGTAATTTTATAGAATACACATTATTTTCAAACATATATTTAACTTTTCAGACAGGGACATTTTTTTTTGGTGTATGGTAAAGGGAACATTATAAATCTGTGGAGGAAAGGCTGAATTACTCAAGATATGGTGGGTGTTGGGTCAGTTTGCTATCCAAAGAGAGAAAGATTCCTTCTCCTTATTTTACTGAATTTCACAGTAGATGGATTAAAGTCCTTGGTGTGTAAACAAACAAAATATTAAAATCATTAAAAGAAAATAAGACCATTGTTATGTCCTTACACAAAGAAGCCTTTAAGACGCAAAAATGGAAAAACTATTAAAAGAAGACATTGACAGATTTGAGTTTATAAAAATTTAAAATTTTTACCTAACAACAACTGTTTATTTGGAAGTTAAATGCTAAGCAACAAATGAGGAAGTAGCAGGTTGGTATACAGAATTTGTAAGAACTCTTATTATCTATAAGAAAAAGATAAAACCATCAGTAGGAAATTATGCAAATCAATTAAAAGACACCCCTTTGAAAAGGAAATTAAAAGGTTTAATAATAAAAATGAGAAGATGCTCAATCTTACTACAGGTCAGAGACATGAAAATGAAAACAATAAGCGACTCATCAGATTAACTGTTGGTGAAATTGTAGGGATAATGGTACATTTATGTGATATTAATGGGAGTGCAAAGTAGAATAGACATTTTGGGAGGCAATTAATAGAAACTCACTAACCTAAAATTAACCCTGTTAACAAGCAGTTCCATGTCGTAATAAAAGAAACTCTCATATAGGTTCAGAAGGGGATGTTTTTATTTTCAAGGTTGTATTATCTGTAAAGAATGGAAAATTGGGAACAACCTATATGTGCATCAATAATGTAATTGAAGTGTGTTCGTATAATGGAGCAATGAATGGGAATGAATTTTAACTGTTTATCATCTCGGATACATCTTAAAATTATATTATTGAGTGAAAAAATAGTTTGCTGAATAACGCCTACATGTTGATGCTATCTCTGGAAAAATAAAATGATACCTTGTATTTCGTTAACATGAAAAGAAATTTGGTATTTATTTATTTATTTATTATTTATTTATTTAAAATGTTCATATCTTTAATGACCACATATAATCCTTACAGAGCAAACAATAACAGTACAGATCTCCGTTTTATATTTTTAAAATACATTTTATTGATTTCAGAGAGAAGAAGGGAGGAGAGAGAGAAACATCAATCATGAGAGAGAATCATCCATCGGCTGCCTCCTGTACCCCCCATAATGGGGATCAAGCCTGCAATCCAGACATGTGCCCCGATGGGGAATCAAACAGTGACCTCCTGATTCATAGGTTGATGCCCAACCACTGAGCCACATTGGCCGGGTACAAAAAATTGGTCTATTTTTAGACTTACATAGAAGTTTCAGGGTGTTTCCAAATATTCTACCCCCATTCTCCCTCCCCCTGCCAATTGTTAACATCTTCTATAGCCCAGTGCAGTGATCAGAACAGGATATTAACATTAGTACAATAGTATTATCCAAACGAAACACTTCATTTGATCTTCACCATTTTTTTTCACTCATGTCCTTTCTTGTTGTTCTAGGATTTCAGTCAGGATCCTACATTGTATGCAGTTGTTATTTCACCCTGGACACCTAGTCTACAACTCTTCCTCAGTCTTGCTTTGTCTTTTATGACTTTGACATCCCCAATGAGTGTTGCTCAGTTATTTTGCTGAATGCCCTTCATTTTGGCCTGTTGATGTCTTCTCACATTTGGACTGAGGTCCCTTCTCCCTGACCAGAGCACAACAGAGTGGTGCTTGCATCCTTCTTAGCGCATCATATCATGATGTTCACAGGTTTCATTACTGGTCAGATTAACCTCATCACTGGTCAGGGTGGTCTCAGGAATTTTCCACTACAAAAGTACTGTTGTTCCTCACGGACTTAACAAATATTTTAGGGAAGACAGTTGAATCTACACAAATCTCTTTTCTCTCATGCCTTTGCCCACTGATTCTATAAAAGGCAAATTTAGCTCTACTAATAATGTTCTGATATTTTTAAAATGTAGGACTTATATTATTTGGGTTAGTGAAATATAAAGCACATATATATTTACTGACAGTGAATATGCCCCAAATGTTAATAGAATAAAGATGAGTAATATTTTCCTCTGTGAGTTTTTAGTTTTCAAACCTCACACTATAAAAATAAGTTATGTATCTGTAGACAAAGCTAAACACTTAGGAATAAACAAGTGCCTTTGTATTTCTTTTTTTAAAAGCTACATTGTAGTGCATTTTAAAATATATTTTCTATTACAGAAAAGAAGTTTTTAAACCTTCCCACAAGTAGATAGTCTGTCAGAAGCTCACTGTAACATGACAGGGCACGATAGCAGGTGGGAAGGACTCTCTTTATATGTGCATAGGACTGGCCCTTTAGTTTGGTGGCACCTGAAGTGTTTATAGTTTTAAAGACCTTTCTAAAGAAAAAGCATACAAATTATGAATCCAGAACTAGCAGGACCCTTCCTAAAATCTTGAAGGGACTCTGAAACTTAAGCTTCCCTATCTTCCAGGTATGCATGTATCTGAAGGGAGCAAAGGCAGGGTCTGTGCTGACTGGCGAGTGTCATGCAGGCTGTTTTTCGAAGGCCTTGGATAACACCTTCTGACCTGATTTTTTTTTTACTCTTTTGACATCAGGCAAAGAGAGCATAAGATTGAGCCATGCTGTCATAGTAAGAATAAAAGTAATAACAATAGGAGTCACTGTGTCTAGGCACTGTTGTGTTTTGCTTATATTAGTCCACGTAATTCACACAGAAATCCCAAAACACAGATACTGTTTTTTAATTCTCATTTTACTCATGAGGAAACTGAGGCACCAAGATAGTGTGTGGGTAATAGCTACCATACCCATAATGCTTGGGCGGGGCAGAACCAGGATTTTAACTTGTTCGGTCTGTTTCCAAAGCAACCCACTGCCTTCTATCCGAAGGCAGGATTTTCGGGGCCACGTTGTCTGGAAGTCTGGGCCTCGGTATGTTTCCCAAACAGTTATTTTCATTTAAGTAAGATGACAGCATGAATTCTAAACGTTGTATACTTTATGCTTAGGTACAAAGTGTGAAGCTGGAGAAAGGACCACATTTAGATTCAACACAAATGAATAGGAATAGAAATTTAGTGAGGAAGGTATTTGGAAGGAGTATGTAGATATTATTCCATATCACTTACTGAGGATTACAGTATCCTGTCAGTATGTTTGGCTGCATGAACGAGTTCTATTTTCATTGAAAAAAAGAAAGTAGATACTATGCTGATGTGACCTGAAGTGAGTCTCGCCGTTTAGACCCGGAGGGAGGAACAGGGCCAGCCTTGCCTGGGGACCAAAGTGAGTCTGGGAGGCAGTGTCTGAGGGGGAACTCTAGCTGCTAAGGCCCAAACCTCCGAATGTGAAACTAAAGTGAGGGTGAGCATCATGCAGATGGGGCTATTCTCCTCAATCTTGTTTTCCTGCACTGAAATTCACAAGGGACGAATACTAGTAATATACTTGCCTCTCAGTATCAGTAGCTCACTAATCGGTTATGCCAAAATGGGGAGAAGAAGGAAGTCAAATCAGATTTGCCTTGATGAGGTGGAGGGGATATGTATACAGTGGGGCCTTGACTTACTAGTGTCCCGACTAACGAGTTTTTTGAGATACCAGCTGTCTCTCGGCCGATTTTTGCATTGAGTTGACAGAGTAATTTGAGTTAACGAGCTCCTTAATGAGCTCGGTCTCAGAACGAATTAAACTCGTAAGTCAAGGCCCCACTGTACTTTGAAAATACATGCCAGCTGCTTCCAATTTCTCTACTGAAATAAAGGTCCAAATAAATGTCTGGAGCTATGGATTTAGTCACGTAATTCAAATAACTGCCCTCTTTACTTCTCCCCTTTGTAATCTTTTATCCTCCCAGGCATGTTAATAAGACACTGAAGTAGTAAACAACTTAAAATAAAACAAAAACAATCATGTGAGTCAGTTTCTGCATATATTGCCTAAGGAACCTCTTAACTTTGCCAGCCAATAAGCTATAGGATAGTGGGTATCATCCCATATCACAGTGAGCTTTAGCGCCGCTGTTTCAGTGTGCAAGCACAGAAGTTTTCACAGAATTTTGTTGGAACTGCACAAAGAAAGATGGAGCTGAGGATTTCAGAAGCCTTTCTCCTTTCTGATGCGCAGTATAGACATGCAAGTGGGTTAGAACAGGTTTAGTGGTGGCCCTGTGCACATTCCGACAACCATCAAACGAATTCTAGTTCTTTTACAACAAAACATATTTTGATGTGATTCTCTCAGTGATGTTAAAGTGCCAGATTACTTCTAAGGTTCACTAAATATTATATATAGCTAGGTATCCCCTTTCTAATCAAAATATAATAGCAAGCAGTATTATAAGTGGCACCGAACTATGTTTAGAAGCTCCTTAAAAAGAGATGGTCATTTGAATCATTGTAAATATGAATTACATTTTCTCTTTTTAAAACAATTACAAAAAATGTTTTTATGGGGAAAAAATTTTTGCCCAAGGATTTAATATAAGTTATGTGTAACAGTGTGATAGATAAATATATAACATGATATAAAGAAGCAAACACTTTCTTGGTAAAATAGTATTAAAAATGTCACATAAGTATTAATGTTGTTATTGAAGTTTTATTACCACAGAACAAGACCTGTGTGATGGGGGAAGTGTGCCTGTCTAAGCTGTAGCTCTACCTTTTAACATTATCAGTTTTTCTTTATTTTTTAAAAGTCAGGTTTTCTTCTTAGAGATTTTGGCCAAGGCTTGTGTTTAGCTTTGATTTCCATGTCAGGAACTAGGATAATGTTAATTCACCACAAGTTCCTGTGGTGGCTAGTTAGATTGTTAGTATATTCAATGGTATCTGGTTAAGCGGTTGATGTATCATTTAGAATTTTTTTGTTAATAAATCTGACTTCAGGGTCACTGGTGGGGCCAGTGATTTTGGTGATGAGGTTTTCTATCATGTCCTCTTTTTTAAGAAAAATATTTTCATTGATTTCAGAGGAGAAGAGAGAGAGAGAGATAGAAACATCAATGATGAGAGAGAATCATTGATTGGTTGCCTCCTGCACGCCCCCTACTGGGGATCGAGCCCACAACCCCGGGCATGTGCCCTTGACCGGAATCGAACCTGGGACCCTTCGCCTGCAGGCTGACACCCTATCCACTGAGCCCAACCGGCTAGGGCTCCTTCATGTCCTCTTGATTTCACTGTAGTGGTCCAAGGTTTGTTGTAGGCAGGGATACATCTCCTTGAGAAGATGTAACCTCGGAGCCTGTTGACGAGGGGATAAGCTGTGCTACATGATACACATTCTGATTTCTGCAGCTGCACTCAGTGCTGATCCCCATCATTTCCCTTAGGTCTCTACCCCCCAAGAGCCAAGCTGGTGATTCAGAGGCATCTCTCATCCCTGACAGATAATGAGCAAGCGGACATCTTTGAACGAGTCCAGGTAACCTTGCTTATAATCCTCACAAATAAGATATAAGGAATGAGAATTGGATCCTGTTTTTCTGAGTTCTTTTTCTTATTTCCGTATCTGAAGTTAAAGGTTGTACCATTGGGTAGTAACTAGAATGCCACTGGTACTTGTGCTTCTAAGAGCAGCGAAATGCTGAGCTTTATTAGGCTTGTCTGCCAGACAGATAGAACCAAGTGGGAATAAAATTAAACGAGTGAAGTCGTGTTGCCATAGTGTGCTCTTGGTTTGTCTGTTCAACAGAAAATGAAGCCAGTCAGCGACCAGGAGGAAAATGAACTTGTGATTTTGCACCTGAGGCAGCTGTGTGAAGCCAAGCAGAAGACACACATTCATATCGGGGAAGGCCCGTCGGTAAGGAGAGGGTTCTTTCCTGACCTTGTTTTGTTTATATATTTACCACAGAAAATGGGAAAGGAGTTTCCTTCCTTTGCATTCTACCTTTAGGGCTCAAGTCCTATCAGATTTATTTCTCAGCATTTTAGGAGTTTCTTAGGAAATTCAAACGGACATTGGCACATTGAGATAAAATAATAATGGTTTGTCAATGTAAAAGCATTTGTGAGTTTTTTTGGTGTAAAATCATTAATAACATTTCATGATTTAGGGTGAACATGAATTTTCAGTTACATTAATCCATTATTTTATTTTAAATTTATGGGAACATGTTGGGGAGGAAGAAACTTTCCTCCACCCTTCTAGGCTTTTTTTTTTTTTTTTTTTTTTTTTTTTTTTTTTTTTTTTTTTTGCTGCTCTAATAATCAAATAGACATGAGACAGATGAATAAGATAAAATGACCCAATTTAATTACACACTTGTGTACGGGAACCCCACATACTTGAGAGTCAGAGATCCCATATACGAGAGAGGTTGAGTTTCAGAGACAGAAAGGGAAATGAGGACTGTGACATTCTGAGGTAAGGGTGCCTTGGGCTTCTTAGGGGAGGATAGTCATTGTTGGATGATAAGAAGAGCAGATGTTCAGTAATTAGGAGTTTGCCCTGCCCTATAGATAGATCATAAATTATTTCTTTTAAAAAATATTTTTATGGATTTCTGAAAAGAAGGGAGAGGGAGAGAGAGATAGAAACATCACTGATGAGAGAGAATTATTGATCAGCTGCCTCTTGCATGCCTCCCACTGGGGATCGAGTCTGCAACCTGGGCTTGTGCCTTGGCCAGGAATCCTGGTTCACAGGCCTACACTCAACCACTGAGCCACACCAGCCAGGCAGTCATAAATTATTTCTGGTGATAACTTCTATTATGGGCAATGCCCCTAATTTAAAATCTTTATGGGAGAGGCAAGTTTCTTGTCAGTCCACAAGGTCTTGATTGGTAAATAGCAATCACCCAAAGAATCAGTAATATCATGGAGACAGCTATTCTAGCTGCAAACTAATGAATGCTCTTTTTGTGCACATGGTTTAGAATGTGTTTCCAGTTGCATATAAAGCAAGACCACCACCAATAGCATGTAAAGAGCTGATGACATATTTACTTCTTAATAACACTAATTCAGGTTATGTCTTTATTTCACTTTATTCAGAGCAAATCACATATCACTTTTTTCCCCTTTATTGATTAAGGTATTACATATGTGTCCTTATCCGCCCCCCCCCCCCATGTCCTCACCCACCTGGTGTCTGTGTCCATTGGTTAGGCTTATATGCATGCATACAAGTCCTTTGGTTGATCTCTCTCCCTTACCCCGCCCCTCCCCTCCCTTCCCTCTGAGGTTTGACGGTCTGATCAATGTGATACAAATCACATATCACTTTATTAGTGATTCCTTAACTTATTCATTGAACAGGCTCTTCCAGAGAACCTTCTATGAGCCAACCTGAGTGATAATGTTGAACAAAACTGTGATGAATAAATGATGTTCCCTCTAGAGAAGGGCTCAAATATGCCAAAGGGGATTGCAAACAGATGGACACACATAATAGAGGCAACAAAATAGCTTTTTAAAAGGATGTACAGTGAGCACAAAAGTAGCTACACCTTTGCTCTGGAGCTGGAGTAGAGTAGGGTAGAAGGAAGACTTAAAGAATTCAAGAAGATTTTCTTTGGCGGGGGAAGGGGGTAGCTGGAGTTTTAAGGGAGATAAAGTTTGCTAATCAGGAAGTTGAGGAAGTATGTTTTAAGAAAGGGACATTGAGCACGAAGTTGTGTAGTAACTTTGTGACCAGGAGTGAACATGTGCTCCGTGCAGGCCCTGGAAGTACATACTGGTTTTTAGAGGGCACTTGGAGATTGATGGGGAAATAAGGCTGGAAGGACAGGCAATGGTGAGATGATGAAGAGCCTTCAGTGCTATGCCTTGGTCATTGAAGGATTTCAAGTAAGAGTGTGAGAAGACCAGATTTGTACTTGAAATAGGAAATTTTATTATCACAGTAACAGGCAATTTGTGGAGCAGGTTGGTGGGTGAGGGTGTTGACAGCATTAGGAATAAAGTCACATTCTCAAGTTCGGAGAATTTTACAATAGAATACGTGAGAAGTGATTAATTTAATTTTTGCACAAACTTTTATAACGTGCATACTATTACTAGGCAGTGGTGATAAATAATGATAGCTCTTTTCTGCCATCTAACTATTTAGGAGGAGAAACCAACATGTACTCAAATAAATTAAAATATGGATATAAGGTGTGATTAGTACAATGATATAAGTATTACCAGGCAGAGATAGCATGGGTACACAAATAGATTGAATGGTTCTGTCTTAAAAATTTTGTTTGGGTGAGAGGCCAAACTATAACACGGAGCGGAACTGAGTTCAGGGATATGGGAGGCATGATCATTAGGATGTAGTGTCTGACTGGATAGATATGTAAGGGAAGGGAGAGGGAGGCTTCAAGGTTTCGGATTTAGGGGGACTGGATAAAACAGAGGTAGAAAATACAGAAGGAAGATGAGAGTGGTGTACGGGATGGAAATGAGAAGAGTTTAAGAAATGTGCTTGAGATTTAATTAGAAAAATAGATTAATTAAAAAAAATGGAGGCATTTGAGTTGGTAGTGTAAATGTGGAGAAAATGAGCTTTGGCAGAGATTGAAAGTCAGAGGGGGATGTGTGAGGAACACCCACATTTCAGGCAATGAGTGGATTAACATTGAGCCAGTGAACAAGGCTGAACGGGAATAATGGAGTATAAAGGGGCTTAGAAAGGTTTATTATGGTAGGTGACCAAGGTAGGAGAAAGCTGAAATAAGATCAACAATGGCCAGTGATATAATAGGAAGGTCAAGAGACATAAAGACTAAAATCTTTTTTTTTTTTTCAGAATGTGTTGAGATGTTGTTTATTTAGCTATTTTATTTTTTCCATAGCCATTTATCTCCTTTATGCCCTCTTCCATCTCCAGACCCACCCCACCCCCTGCAATCACCACACTGTTGTCCATGTCAGTGAGTTCTTTCTCTCTTCTTTTTTCTTAGTTGCTTAATCCTCCCCAACACCCTCCCTCCCCACCACTGAGAGCTGTCTGCCTGCTCTCTCTCTATGAGTCTGTAGACTAAAATCTATTAATGGGTTTGCTTACATCAGTCATTGATGGTGATAGTGATGTTGACCAGAAGGACAAAAACAGTGGGTGAGTGGTTACTAGTATGTGCATTTTTTTTTATGTGATGGAGGACACTATAAAGAAAAGATTTTTAACAAATTGTAGTTCCTGCTAATATTTCTTCCCTTTCTGTTTCTCTTTCCCCACCTCCCTCCCTCCCACTCTCTCTAAGAAATCAATGGAAAAAATACCCTCAGGTGAGGATTAACAACAACAACAGCAAAAAAGACAATGGAATTGTAATAGAGGCCATAGAGGAATCCAACTTTCTAGAAAATGCATTGTTTTTTAAACATATTTCCTTGGCAATTTAGGTACTTCAAAAGGGATGGCTATAGTTGATAATCAAAATAACAACAATAAAAACATTTTCAGTGTAATTTTTGTTAAATGCAGATGGAATAAATTAGCAGAAAGAAAAGGCATAAAGAAAAGACCTTATTTCTGTCTTTTTATTACTTACAGTATTAAAAAGTAAATCCCTTTCCTTATAATCTATCTGTTCACAGTGTGGAACCTAAATTATTACTCCTTAATAGAGCTGCAGAAGAATTCTTGTGCTTTTTAATGGCATCTTTAAAGCCTCAATTAACCTTGAGTATTCCCAACTAAAATTTATCTGTTTTTCTTTCTGTAGACTTTTTCAAATAGTACAATCCCGGAAAATGCGACAAGCAGTGGAAGGTTCAAACTTGACGTTCTGAAAAATAAAGCTAAGAGATCTTTAACTAGCTCCCTGGAGAATATCTTTTCAAGGGTAAGAGTACACTGAGACCCTTTTAATATCTGTGTTCTTTACTAGTAATTGCTTTGCTTCATTCTCAACTGACTCACAGAAAAGTCCTTTTTTAAAAAACAACAAAAACTACTATGATAACTATAATTTTGTTAACACTTATTTAAAATAATCTCTCAGACTAAATTTCATTCTCAGACATAGATTTATTCTGATTATTATAATATCTGAATTTCAGTAATAGAGATTTATTAGTGAAGATATATATGTATAGAAAAGGGAAAATAGAATATTGACGCCCAATACTAAAGTAACTTTTTAATCATTTGCCACATAAAGTTATAAAGAAATCCTTCTTTTGCTCATTTTAGGAGCTGATATGCAGTGCTGAAAATGTTGAGTATAAGTGAACGGAAATTTATGTATTCCTTTTAGTAAATTTGGAGGGAGAACATAGTCTATTTAAAAATAAGCAAAGTGATTCCTATTCCCCTTCATTTTCTTCTTCCTGAACAGTTCAGTCCTAATGCTGTTAGTGAGATCAAGCAAGGAAGGTAGGTGTCTTGGGGTTGGAGGGCAGGGGAACCGCAGTGGCTCAGAGCAGAGTGACAGTGACCAGTGGGTGCTGTGTGTGGGGTGGCCCAAGGCAGCATGTGGGAACCAGAGTGTGGTGAGGAGGGTGTCAGCTTAGGAAATTGCAGCCTGAGTTGGTGAGGAGGGTGTCAGCTTAGGACATTGCAGCCTGAGTTGGTGAGGCCCAGTGCAGGGTGTCAGAGCCAGAGTGGAGAGGAGAAAGCACTCATGGTGCCTGATACAAGGAGTTAGAGTCTGTGCAGGGTGGGGATGACGACCATGCCTGGGGGGGGCAGTCTGAGCATGGGTGTTGGAACCTGAGTAGGATGGGGAGAGTGTCTGTGAGGTGACAGTTGTGGAGACCAATTGCACAGAGGGGACTGATCAAAGATATAATGTATTAAGATAGTGGGATGTTGGGAGAAAAGAATTACAAATATGCAAAGGGAGGAAGTTATAATGAATTCTGTGTTGTTGGATTCAACTCAGAAGTAACAGCATGGAATCTTGGTTATCTATCTATCTATCTATCTATCTATGAATCATCTATCTATCATCTATATATATTTTTGAGGAATAGAATTTTATATATTATACATATAATATATGTATTGGCACATGTGTGTAAATGTGTACATATGGTCTCTGGCTCTGTCCACTGATAGGAGCTGAGACCAGCTTTTCTACAAATAATATCAGATAATGAATTAAGTCTTGCTGGGTGATAACTAATACCCAGATTTGGGTTTCTATATATCATTCTGCAAGAGACAACCATGATCCTGGGAGAAATGGCTAGTTCCAGGATTGTAGGGAAAGTACAAGATAAGACCAGAGTATCTTGGTAATCTAGCTAGTAAGGAAGTGCTCAAAGATAGATGCTGCTATGTCATCCTCTATAATAAAAGGGTAATATGCAAATTGACCCTAATGGTGGAACAACCAGAACACCTGCTCGACCAGTCACTATGAGACACACTGATCACTTCTTTGTCCCTTCCCCTGGCCGTCAGGCTCCGACCACCCGATGGCGAATGGGGAACCGGGGTGGGTGGGTGGGAGGGCGGGGCCAGCTTTGGGCAGCCAGGGAAGATGGCCCTGATTACAGGCCAGGCCTAGGGACCATACCTGCGCACAAATTTCGTGCGCTGGGCCTCTAGTAAAGACATAAAAACCGTGAAGGGCTCCCAGTGGTGATCCCTGAGACAATATGAGCATCAAAATGGATGATAGCAACAGATGAATCTGTTGCATAACATAGGAAACCATGAGTCTATTCTGATATGAAAAATAAATGAATACATTGAGAGTTTGAACAGTATTTAATTAATACTGTTTACAAAGAGGAAAATAGTAAGTTTAAAATGGAGTAATGAAATTGAACATCATCAGCAATGGGACATCTGATACAAAGAATACTTGGGTGGTATTTCTGCTAAAGGGGCAGAACCTGAACCTGATCATGAAGAAATATCAACAAACTCAAGTTTTTCTCTACTAGAGGGCCGGTGCATGGATTCGTGCACTGGTATGGTCCCTTGGCCTGGCCTGCGGGGATTGGGCTGAAACCAGCTCTCTGACATCCCCTGAGGGGTCCCAGATTTTGAGAGGGCGCAGGCTAGGCCGAGGGACCCCACTGGTGCTGCACGATCGGGACCGGGAAAAGACTGCGGGAGGTTGGCCGGCTGGGGAGGGACCACAGGAGGGCTCCAGCGCGTGTCTGACCCATCTTGCTCAATCCCAGCAAGCTAACCTACTGGTCAGAGTGTCTACCCCCTGGTGGTCAGTGCGTGTCATAGTGACTGGTCGAACTGTCGAACAAACGGTCGGGCACTTAGCATATTAGGCTTTTATTATATAGGATAATCCACAAAATAATCAATAGCCTGTTATCTTCAAGAGTGTCAAGGTCAAGAAAGTGCAATAGCATTAGGACATTGTAACTTCTGATATATAGTGCTCTTATTTTTTTAATTTTGCTAGAAATCAAAATACTTTTTTAGGTATTTTTCTTAATGGTTGAGATTCTTCTAAGTCTATCAAAAGCCCCACAGCAAGCATGGAGCTTTCGGTGCTTTTATTTTATCACCAGACATAGAATCTAGAAAAAGAGGATCTAGGAGATTACTCAGAAGTGTGTTCATGCAACTTTTCATAAAATTTTACCACCTTATTTTCTTCAAAATGTATTAATTAGCTATGTTCTTTCTCCTCCCTCCCACCCTCCTTCCCTTCCTCTCTCCCTCTCTACCTCCCTCCCTCCCTCCCTCCCTCCTTTCCTTCCTTCCTTCCCTCCCTCCTCCCCTCCTTATCTTCCCTCCCTCCCTCCCTCCTCTCTTTCCCCTGTCTCCCATGGTGTGTTGGTGAGAATTTTAATAGAAAGTCCATTTAGATAGATGGTCAGGGGACGTGAATTCAAGACCTGGCCCTAGCAGATTTTATATTTTTGGACAAATTACTTACCTTCTCTAAGCTATAGTTTCCCCATTTATGAAACAGGCATACTACTATCAGCTTACCTCACATTACTGTGAGGATGAACTGTCAGTATATTAGGAAAGTATCACATTATAGATATGAAGTGGTCCAAACAGTGGGAGCTCTGAAACCTGTCCATTTACCAAATGACAAAGGATATGTAGAGTTCCTCTCTTAATCCAGCTAGTACTTTGGCATTCTGCACAATACCTGCACCGCTGTCTTTGAAGTGCCACTTCGTAGCTTTGAATGACGGTAATGACACTTTAAGCAAGAGCACAGCCAGTCTATTTTGATCAAGGTGGATACTGTAGCTTTTATTGTCACAAATGCCGCCAAGTGTCATAAATTACGTGACCAAACAAGGTCTTTGCTTGCACCATGTGCAGCAGAATGGACTTACTGGGAAGGTTGGCAGCTACCCATGTTGTATCAAAGGTTACATAGAGAAGGGGTTTTGTGTACTTCTAAAATTTGTCTGTTTTTTTTTCTCTTTGAATAAAAAGTAGAAAATTGACACTTCAGTCTTAAAGTTCAACTCATAATTACTGTCATTTTTAAATGTAAAAATATTTTACTTAACTGACTGTAATTGTTTATGAAATAGGATACATTTTTAAATAGCTGAGAAGCTCAGATCCCTGATAATCAAAAAGTGGGTCCAAGGGAAAAGGCTTGACACATGTATTACCAAATCACAATACAGTAAAACTGAAACAGTTGTCTGTTCAGAGGTGAAAAGACAGTCTTGTATTCTGATTGTTTGTTGCTTTTTCTCAAGTTGAAGCTTTCCAAAAGAGAATATTTATGAATATATTTATTAATATACATATTTCTAAAAAAGGACTATAAATTAAAGTGTGAGTCATTGGAAAACAGTCTTCATTTCATGCTTTCTCCAGATTAATATCCATTGTCCTTACTTGTTGAAAATGTGTGAATAATTAAAACAGTAAGTAAGTTTTCTTTTTTTTTTTTTTTAACCTGGGTTGCAGTTTCCAACTCCGGCCTCAGTTGGGGCATGGAGGCAACCAATATATGTGTTGTTGATGTTTTTCTCTCTCTCTTTCTCCCCGCCTTCCCCCCATCCCTTTCTCCCTTCCTTCCACTCTCTTTAAAAAGCAATGGAACAAATATACTCGGGTGAGGATTAATAAAAAACAAAACAAAGCAAAGAAAGAATTATCAGGTCCAAAACAAATGTCAATAGTGCCAAGATTTAAAAATTCTGATCTCAGGCATTTGGTCAAGAACATGATAGAAATGTACTGATTGGGTGAAGTGCTTGCTTAAAAAAAAAGTGTCTTTAAATTCTTCAGGGAGTATTATAATTGAGCCTGATGGACATATTCATCAGCTGTCATGTTCCTCATCCTATTACCTTTTTCTTGGAATATTAAAGGACATTAAAAACCAAAAAATAATAATGATAATAGAAGAAAAGCAATGTATTCAATTAGATGAAGAATAAAGAAACCCTTTGTAAGTATGATGGAAATAATTAGTGCTTAGATGAAAGTTTACAGCACTAAATGTCTATGTTAGAAAGAAGAAAGGTACAAATTTAATAATCTAAGTTTAAACCTTAAAAAGCTGGAAAAGCCATACAATGAAATATAGATAAAAAGAGATGAAGTACTGATATATGCTACAAGATGGATGAACCCCCAACACCTCAGTAAGTTTTTTTTTTGTACACACATATACATGCACACGCAATACATGGATAAAATACCTCTGTGAGTAAAATGTGTGACTTAAGTTGCTATTATAATAATGCAAATGGTTCAATACCCATCTTACTACTTTTACTATTGTGAGCAAATAACCTGTTTAAGATAACCAGGCAGGTTGGCAGGTAAGCAGCAGCTAAACTAATTGCAGAAAGTGACTTGGTCTTTATAATATTTACCTCTTGGCCACACACAGTTACCCAGTCCTTTATCATCCGCAAATATAGTTTATTATTGGAAGTATGACATGTTATAGTATAGAACTGAAGAACTGAAATAACCTTGATCAGATTCTAGGCAGTTGCATAATTACACTTAACCAATGAAGGCTAGTTAGTTTTATTTGTAATTCTGATCTTCACAAAGCTCTATCTTCAGGGAGGAGTATTGAGTAAGAGCTCAAGAGCTTCACTTTTAAATTGTGGTTCCTGGGTTCAAATCGATGCTTTGTCCTTTAACTAGCGGTGTAAGCTTTGGCAACATAATCATATCAGAGCTTCAGTCTCTTCATCTGTAAAGTTGAGCTAAAAGCTACACCTCCCTCACATAATTTTTGTGAGGAATAAATGAGATAATGCAGTGTAAAATGCTTAATAGAGTACATAGCACACGATAAGCATGCATCTCTTAATTTTATTGCTTATGTAATTGTTATTTAGAGAGCCACCAGTAACCTAAAACTATAAGTAACATACATAGGTAAGAATAAATATTGCTTCTATGAAACAAGTTAGGATACCATAAATATAAAATAGTCAATTGAGAACAAAAAAGAACTCTTAAAACTTTCTGATAATAGACATAAAAAGAAAAAGTCAATAAAAGTCTAGGAAGCTAGAGTTAAAAAAATCTTCAAGAAAGTAAAGCAAAATGGTAAAGAGATGGAAAATAGGAGAACAGGGTAAAAAGTCAAAAGATTAGTCTGAAGATCCAATAGCCAAATGGTAGGAGTTTCAGAAAGGGAAAGTGCATGCAGAAATTTTCAAAGAAATCATTTCAGAAATTTCCCAGAGCTAATGGGCATGTTTCCGGACTTAATGGGCTCAGAATACGTACAATAGAACGACTGAATAAAGCCATGCCAAGGCCCATGGTTGTGAAACTTCAGAACGCCCGAGGGTAAACTTAGAATCAGTTCCAGAGAGAGATAGCAGGCCATACAAAGGCTCAGTCACAATGGCATTAGTCTTCGGTGCCAGGAGGCACTTGAGCAATGCTCGCATTGTGAAGGAATGTTTGTAATCAAAATTATATATCCAGCCAAACTGTTAATGAAATATAAGTGTAGAGTAATGACATTTACAGACATGTAAGTTAAAAAAAACTATTTCTCAGTCTCCCTTTTTCAGAAAGCACTTGGACTAGGTGATCTACCAAAATGCAGAAGGAAACTGAGAAAGAGGAAGACCTGGGATCACAGAAACAGAAATTCCAACATAGGGTAGCATTAAAAGATATTTCTAGGTTCATAGTGAAGGAAAATACTGGGCAGATCTGTTTAGCAAGCCTACATTGCAGCCAGTCCAGACTGGGGCAGGAGACAGAGGCCTTCATAATGGGTAACTCAAATGAAAAGAAAAAATGTAATTGATAGATTATGGGTTGTTTGACCCTACTGAGATCTGTTGGTGACTTTTGTAATACATCAGTGATCGCTAACTCTTTGAAAAACAAATTGCACAAGTTATAAGTTGTAGTAATAGTCAAATATATAGCTCAGCTGCAAACACTATTTACAAAGTCATAATAATCTAATCCAGTGGTTCTCTACCTGTGGGTCGCGAACAATGAAAATACATCCTGCATATCAGATATTTACATTATGACTCATAGCAGTAGCAAAATTACAGTTATGAAGTAGCAACGAAAATAATTTTATGGTTGGAGGTCACCACAACATGAGGAACTGTATTAAAGGGTCGCGGCATTAGGAAGGTTGAGAACCACTGAATCACACATTATTGTTTTAACTGAAACCTATGATATAACTATTAAGAGAAGAGGGAAAGAGAGAGTGTGTGTAGGGGTGGGTAATGAAGTAAGAATACTAAAGTCTCACTTCCGAAGGAGGAAGTGAATAAATAGTGCCTAAAGCGGAAAGCTTAGGAATAGTAATATAAGCTGAATACCAGAAGCAAGTATTTGAATGCACTTTCAAGTATTTGCTTTTGGAGAATGAGATTCAGTGTGTGAGAGAGGGGGGCGGGGTGGTGACTGTCATTTCTCATTTTCAGCTTGGTAGCACAATTTGGCTTTTGAAATTTTGTGCAGATATTAATTTGATTAAAAATTCAAATGAAATTTAACACTCTTCCCTCCAAAAATTAAACCCAGGAAAGTATGGCCACAAAACATTAAAACTGTAAACTGCTGTACAAATATCATGTGTTTTTTATCTTGCAGAGTTTGTATCACATGGTTTGTATTTCTAGTTATTCTTTTTAGAGCTTTTCCATGGGTTTGGAGTTACATGGAATGCCTCAGTCTGTGGTGTGTCTCTTAAGACCTTCTGTATGATGTGGTGCCCAGCCTGCCCTTCCATCCTCTTTCCTTCAAAAGTTGGCTCCAGTTTCTTCCTGTATGAAGTGAGGGAAATACAGGGTGGGGCAAAAGTAGGTTTACAGTTGTTCGTATGGGAAGTAATACAATAATTAATAAGTAATAATACAAGAATAAACTCCCATACTCACAACTGTAAACCTACTTTTGCCCAACCCTGTATATAAGATGATCTCTTAGGTTCCTCTTTCTTAGACCATCTATGAGATCTACACCAAAGGTATGTGAAAAGAAAAATAAGATCCAATGCTCACCAATATTGAAGTGGACTGTTATTTAGTCTTTTTTAGAGAATAATCCTTTATTGAAGTTGTTTTGGATTATGGAATAATGAATGAAGCTCAAATCCATACATTTTAGGATTCAGTTTTCTTAACCTGTGTCTGTTATAATCCTGCAATGTGAATTATGATGTTGCTGCTTGGTCGTAGGAAGGTTGTATGTATTAAACCATGTGGTGGTTAGATGTGCTGTGCCTTCCAGTTTGTGTTTATCTACATGACACACAAAGTTAATGGGACTCTCTCACACTGATTGTGGGGATGAAAAATGTTTAACCTTGTAACCAAAATGACTCCAAAAAGCTTGGTCTGCTATCTAGTCATCTAAAGCCTGAGTTAAGAATACTGGAAATAGATGGTGAATAGTTCTATTTACTGTGCTGCAATGGCTCTTAATACTGCCAAGAAAATTGAGTGAACCACAAAAGGGATCAATTTAATGCTAACGTAAAGAGCCAACTGCTTTTTATAGTAGTTTTAAAGTAAAAATTCAGACCATCTGAATGCTTTAACTTTATTCTCTTCACTTAGGGAGCTAACAGAATGAGAGGGCGGCTTGGAAGTATGGACAGCTTTGAACGGGCAAACAGTCTTGCTTCAGAGAAGGTAGGCAAGCAGACACGCCCCCCCTCCCCTATTTTTTTTTTTTTACCACTAATTGGGACTTGGCACAAACCAACACTGATATGGTAATTTGTGTGCTTGGTTATTTTGTTCTGAGTCATTTATGATTTAAGAAAATATATTTGAGGCTTTATTGTTTTAAATAAGAAGATTCTGGATATGAGCATGTTGCTCTTTACTCAGCTGAAGTTTTCCCATGTGAGATAGAACATACCCCTTGCAGACTAACTCTGCTCTGTCAGGCCGCTTACTATTCAGAGCTAGTATGAGGAAAGTATTTGAGCAACCATTGCCCCAAAGCCATAGAAAAATGAGCCATGGAATTACTGCACTTGTGTAGCGCTCTTGTTATCTTTTGTTTTCTCTCCATGTTACCCCCCTCCATTTTTATCCATTTTAACTGCAACATTATGCTCTTTATCTCATAGACAATTCTCAGTAGGGTTGATTTCCTGTTTCCTTCCTGTATCATGCAACATGGAACCTGAGGCATATGCAACCTATTTATTAGTGAAAAAAATATTAAAATATTTTTTTATTAAACTTTCTGTTGATAAAATTGAGGACTTGGTTCAGCTGTGAGTCTTTTAGCCCTAACTCATGTTTATTAAGCTAAGCATTTCTACAGTGGTGATTGTTCTGGAGAGTATAAACAGCATACCTGTCTAAATTGAAAGATTTATGAAGTCTACACATGCAATATGAGATGCATTCCAGCATAACTCACTTCTCATTCATTTCCTGTTTTTCATGTCTTTTAAAAAATGTACTATCAGGGGACATGTAGTTGGATAGAAACATTCGTGGTGAAGGAAGACACTTAACAGGCTCTATTTTATTTCCCTGAAGGCTCTGCCACCAGACTTGGACACTTAAACGTTGTGATATTGTTTTGAGAGTACAGGAAGCATGCAACTGACATGTCACGGAAATCAGTAGATACGTAAACGCAGACTCCACCCTTTTTTTTTTTTGTCATGATCTCTTTTCATCTTTCTGGCAACAATGAGAAATGCTACAGCATTTTACCACAAAGCGTTAGGGAAAAGAATACCTTTTCTTATCATCCCTTTCGCTTTCTGGCCTATCTTTACTGGTGCTGCTATCAGAAGAAATGGGTTGTGGTGATACTGATTAGCCTTCAGCATGGATCCAATGAAAAAAAAAACAACCCACCAGCTTTGTGTTGACTCAGGAGGAAGAAGAGGTGCCCTGTCCTTTCTGAGCTCTGTGTGGACAGGTCTGCCATGATCTCTGTGGGAAAGAAAGACCTCACTTCTGCTTGCTTCTCAGGACTACTCACCGGGAGACTCTCCGCCAGGGACGCCCCCAGCCTCCCCACAGGCCTCAGGTTGGCAGACGTTCCCTGAAGAGGATTCTGACTCCCCACAGTTTCGAAGACGGGCACACACGTTCAGCCACCCGCCATCAATCACCAAGAGAAAGCTGAATTTGCAGGATGGGAGGGCTCATGGGATGCGCTCCCCTCTCCTGAGGCAGAGCTCCAGCGAACAGTGCAGGTGAGTCCAGACCTCTCTCTCTGCAGTGGGAAGTAAAGTTCTCCTCCCAACCTGTTTTGATCATGGTGGAGTCAAGATTTGTTGTGACTTCATGCTGTAGCCTACCTGTAGTTTTTAGAAAGACCATCAAAATTAATTGAATGATAAAGACCTTAGTTACTAGGTGAAACAAGGCAAGATTGAAGGCATACCCAGAGAGCTGAGTTAAAGCATTTTGGATGGAAACTTTTTTTTCCAGAAAAACAGAGGAAGCAAGATATTACACATGTGGTTTCGCCTGAATAACCTGCTGACAGGACATGTTATCAGTGTCTTCTTGATCACTTAATGAAACAAAGTCAGCAAATTCATAAAATAACAGAGCAGCAGAGCTCTCTTGGGGGCCTACAGTAAAATACAAGGGTTCAAAAAAATCACCTAAATTACCTTCATGCATGAGACAAAAAGTAACTATATTTTATTTCATAATAAATTAAAGCCAAATAAGAAAATTGTTAAAAATTTTATCTTGAATAACATGATCTCTATAAAGAATACACACAGCCTAATTGACAGGAAGTAGCCATAGGAATTACTTTACATGGTTATTTAAAAACATAACTCAGCCAAATTGTTGGCATTTGATAAGAAATAATAACGGGGGTAAATCTGGAGTAGTAGAATTTTTATATGTCTTACTGTGTAATACAAATCAGAATTTATATCCTAGAACTAATTTTGTTTTTCTTCTTTCCCTGTGAGTTTGATATGGGAAACATGGTCTGGTAGAGATCCCAGTCGAAGAAAATAAAAACAAAAACCAGAATGCTAAATGAAAAGAGGTTAAATTTTACATTGTTATCAAGATTTTTTTTTTATGATCACTTTATTTATATTTTCAGGAAAAATTATTTTTAAGAATTTAAAATATTATTTTAAACTAGAAATGATATCTATTCTTCCCTATGCTTTCTACATTTTATAATGTATAAGCTCAGATAATTTCTATCGATATAAAAAGATGCTGTTTGTATTGTTGTAAAAACATGCTAGGAAAAGAATCTTCTAAAAATAAAAAGACCTATGCTGGCGATTTAGGGCTTCATATATAACCATGGCTGTAGGAAAGAATATGGACATAAATGTTTGTTAGGCCAAAGATATGATTCCAGCAGCCAAACATGTTGTCCTTAAATTGTTAGCAGAGTTTATGTCTTTAAAATAGTGAAGTCTTTGAACTACTGATAATCGTTTTTTCCTTCTGGAACTTGTTTCCTGTAATTTTTTGTGCTTTCCTATTTTTTTTCCCCCTTAAAGTATCTTTTGCATGGAAAAACAAACACTGTTTGTCCTAAAATTGTTAAGAAACTGTTAGTAGAGACAAACACAGGAGGAATTCAATTTGTGAAAGGGTGAAACAAGGTCATACTTTTAAATAGAGAGAACTGCATGTCCCCTGACCCCTACCATAAGATGCAGCCCTGAGCCTTTAAAGGATAGATTACATGAATAACACGAACTTGTTTATATACTTTTTCATAGTGAATGAAGACTTTGCCAAAATATAAATTAAGACCAATCTGCTGTGTTTTCTGTACTCAGCATTCTTCCATCCGCTCGGCGCATGCACAAGGAGAGTAACTCTTCCTCCAGCCTTCCAAGTCTGCACACTTCCTTCTCTGCCCCTTCCTTCACTGCCCCCTCTTTCCTGAAAGGCTTTTACCAGAATTCAGGTAGACTGTCCCCACAGTATGAAAATGAAATCAGGTGAGATCAGTGTCCTCTGTTTGCAAAGCAACATTTTCCACAGTGTGATATACTGATGTGTTACTAAAGAGTGGCTAATTTTGGAGTGACTTTTATGCATCCTTATGTTGTGCTTGTTCTAATCTATTTCTAATATATTGGTTTTTCATTCCACTTAATTTTATTAAGAAAACTTTTACAACCAGCGTTTTGAAACTTTTAAAGCCAGCTTTTTGGGTACATGGTAATCTTTTAAAATTATTATTATTTTTGTACTACTTGTTTGTGTCTTTGCCTTGGGCCCCAGAGTCTAAGCTTTGTTCTTGTTTGGAACAAGACTTAGTGCTAACACATGCTAAGCAAACCTCTCCTGTTCTTGCCTTTTTTTTTTTCTTTTTCTTCTTAGCCTTTCTGGACATATCTTATGGAATCCAAAAGCCACTGATTTAAACAATTGTACTAAAGTGATGGATATAATATATTTTTACTTTTAAGTATATAGAATATTTCCTAGGCATTTCTTTGATTTTTCAATGACAAGGACTCACTTCTCTGAATCTCAGTGTAAGTCACATAATGGGTACAGCATCATGTTGACAGCAACACTCTCATGAGAGATCTCTTGAATTTTGTAGATATTTGAGTTTGTTGGGTTACCAATATTGAAAATGAATAGCCTTTAAGTTTTGTTCTTTGCTCTTATAGTGACACAAAATTAGATGTAGTGATTTTGGAAAACTGGCTTTTAAAAACTTTGAAATTACGAACTCTTACTGATCATTCATATTCTTAGTGGGATGTTCCTCCCTTTGGAAAGAGGTGGTTAAGTTGGGAAGTCTTCTAAGGGGATTGCTGTTGGCTTAGAAGCTTATGAGATTGATTCATTCCTGTTTTTATGCATGGCTTGGAGCATTCATTTGTATTGCTATATAGTATTCCATTTAATACACCACAACTTACCCATTCTCTTGATGGGGCATTTGAGTTGTTTTGAGTAGTTTGATAATTGGCAATTCTTGCACTCAAGGAGAGGAATACATGCTATCAGTCAGCCTGAGTGCCGCTAAAATCTTCTGTGTGCTTTTGGCTTCCTTTTCTTTAGATTTAGGAAATCCCCAAAGTTAACATATATACCCTCAGTAATTAGTTAAATTAGACTCTTCCTTAAATTATCTCTATCTTTTGTCCATGTGTGCCAATATTTTTCACTCCAACAAAGATTACTAATATTGGATTAATGAACTTTTGAATCTGAACTCTTCTCTGAATTAGTACATGTTCAAGCATTGAATTTCTAGTGAAGAAGTTGATGAAGAATTGATCTTAAAAGGCTTTTTTTAGGGAAAACCTTAGGGGAGAAATTTTAAAGGAAGTTAGCCATAAAATACAATATAATATATATGTAGAATATGTAATGAATTTAGAGAACCAAGAATGTGCACACTTAAAAATATCAGTTTGCCTTATCTCTATAGTACTACCTACTAATAAGAATACAACACTTCCAGTGAACTCTATTTGCAGTTTTTTATTGTTATATTACTTAAAGTAAGCATTTGGGGAATCACAGTTTCCTTCCAGAAACAAAACCAGGCCTGAAAGTGACAATGAAGCTAGCTATTAAGAAGGTCAAAGGTTAGCTGTGAATAGGATGTTGTAGAGTACAAAATCAGTGACTTTTAAAAGATTATTTATAGTGCTTAATATAAGGTTATATGTTTATCTTGAGTAGTTTCTTCTTAGATGTGTGTACAAGGTGTCCCCCCCAAAAATGTATACACACTTTAAAAGCTGATAGCTTAATTTTGAAAATGAAATGTATTTTCATAAATACTGCCTTTGTAATTATTCAAAGTGTGTATATACATTTTTTGAACACCTGGTATTATTCTTTCTCATAGCTTCCTTTAGCTCTCTAATTTCATTTTAGTAGAAGGATATTGCAGTCCAGAAGGCAATTATATGTTCATTTTGCATTGAAAAATGTCACCTTTTTGCTTCTATCTTATTTAAAGTGCTCTGTATAAACATGAAGAGAACTTATAAATTTGTAGAATCATTAAACATTTTGCTATTTTTTTGTACTTTGTAATGTTTTCTTGGCTCTGAAAAATTCTTAAAATCAGAAAGCACTTTCTATACTTTTGTATGCTTTTTCATAATTTGTATGCATGGAATCAATAGGCTAAAAAGACACTTAAATTTTTTTCATTGAAGTATTTTTACTGGTATTAAAATATAACCATACAGCTCATCAGAGTGAACATTCCGTGTAACCACTGCCTGGTCACTGCCAGCAGCCCTGCAGCTCCTCTCTTTTTCCCACCAACCAGCATGCCTATCCTGACCTCAAATACCATAGCTCAGTTTTGCCTGGTTTTGAACTTTATTTAAATAGAACAATACAGTATAAATTCTTTTATATCTGGCTTCTTTCATGAACATTAGTTTGTGACATTTATTCCTGTTTTTATGTGCACTTTAGTTTATTCATATATATTGCTGTATAGTAGTATTCCATTTAATGCTAGATTTATCCACTCTTTTACAGATGGACATATGGATTATTTTTATTTATTTATTTACTAGAGGCCCGATGCACGAAATTCATGCAAGAGTAGGCCTTCCTTCCCCTGGCTGCCCGCACCAGCTTCCCTCTGGCCGCCAGCAGGCACCCGGGACCCGGGCTTCCCTTGCAGCCCCAGCTTTGTCAGGAAGGTTGTCTGGAAGGATGTCCAGAAGGATGTCCGGTCTAATTAGCATATTACGCTTTTATTATTATAGATTTTGCTTTTAAAGAGTAATGTCCTTGATATTATTGTATATGTCTTTAGCTGTATATTTCTATGTATTATTGATGACACAGTCATAAAGCTGTCAGACAAAATTAACTTTTAATAGGTTTATTTCAATGAGTAAGTCACTTAGACATAAATTGACTAGTTACAATTTTGAAGAGAGTGTTTTTAAATTTGTATTTAAAAATATGAAAAGGGTAGTGGTTGTACGCTAATTACCATGTTTCTCTTTTATTAGTGTAGATTTTGCTTTTAAAGAGTAATGTCCTTGATATTATTGTATATGTCTTTAGCTGTATATTTCTATGTATTATTGATGACACAGTCATAAAGCTGTCAGACAAAATTAACTTTTAATAGGTTTATTTCAATGAGTAAGTCACTTAGACATAAATTGACTAGTTACAATTTTGAAGAGAGTGTTTTTAAATTTGTATTTAAAAATAATACCAAGTTTACAGGAAAGTGCAAAAATATATGGAGGACTTCTGCTAACTCTTTACCCAGATTCATCAGTCTTTAATATTTGCCCCACTTGCTTTATCATTCTCTCTGTTCATTTACATAGGAATATATACATGCATACATGTAGACATTTTAAAATTCTAACCCATTTGTGAATAGGTTGCATACATCATGTCCCTTTACTTGAAATAGTTTAGTGTGTACCAGTATTTCCTCTGAAGGAGGAGAGTCAGGAGTGTGGTTTTAATCCACTGACTTCAGAACTCTACATCTCTCATCATCACTACTTTCAGAGAGAACATCATACTGACACAGTTACCATGACATCTGGAACTACTCAGAATATCGAGGGGAGGAGGTTCATAATACTATGAATTACAGTTTCCTTTCACTTGGGTATATCCTACTGGTTTTATAGAGTGGGTCTCTAAATATGCATCATCAAGTGAGGGAGAGAATAGGTTAGATGCATATAGGGTAACAAATACTACTTTTTAGAAGGCATATTAATTTGAAACTTGAAATTCAGACTAGGCATCCTTTTCTAGGACCACTACTTGAATTATTAAAAAGATGTCAGGTTACTGTTTTTAACAGGCCGAGAAAAAGGAGCAAAGATATTTTTAATGTCATGATTTATTGATTAGTAGGTTCACTTGCACGGCATTAAAAAGGTAAAGGAAAGGGAATAAGTGTATGCTTTGAATACCTTACTTCAAATTAATTTTTTAAAGTTTAATTTTATTTCATTGTTTAGTAGCTAAACTATAATTGTCTGTAATGATACAGTATATTTATATACTATCCATTTATCAAATGTGTAATATGTCTTTTCTATCAACAGGCATCTTATTCCTCCTTATTGCTTCTCAGCTTTTAAGGCTATAATTAAAAATTATTCATATTGAAGTTCATTTGTCAAAAGTAAAATGATAGTCATTTCTACTTACTTATAAATCTTCAATGATAAAGTAAGATTTTGTTGATGAAGTACTTTGTTAGACAGTTTTGGTTCTCTGTAGTTCTCTCGTATTTACTGACAAAAATAGTATAATCACTCATTTTGGTTCATTATTGAAATAGCCTTATTTATGCATTATTGACTTATGGGAATGCCTTTTTATTCTAAATCCTGATTTTGGACATATGTCTCTTTCTTTGTGCTAATGTCATTCCTTGTTTTCCTGTTGAACTAGACAGGACACTGCTTCAGAATCAAGGTGATTAGAGGTCTAAATATTTTCATTTAAAAAAATTTTGTAAGTTCTTCCAACTGAATATCAACATTAGTTTAAAAGCAGTTTTGGCTGTCTCCTGAATGCATGCCATCATTCTGGTGCTATGAGGGTTACACAGTAGAAAAAATATGACACATGGTATAATCAAAGATCCCAGATGACCATAGGAAATCCTGTTTCTACTCTATTCCATGTTGAGATTTCCTTAGAACTGTGCTGTATCCTTCAAGCGAAGCCTAATTTTAATTTTGAATTATTAGAATTAGAACATATAAATTGCTTATATGAACTAGTTTACAGGTACATATATACATATAAATAATTCATTCTAAATCCCAAGAAGATGCAGAAATAAGAACCTACTCATTCAATTGACTATGGTTTTGACCCGAAGAGGATTATTAATCTACTAGAGGCCTGGTGCACTAAATTCGTGTATGGGAGGGGGGACTCCTCAGCCCAGCCTGCACCCTCTCCAATCCGGGACCCCTCGGACATCCCTCTCACAATCCGGGACTGCTGGCTCCTAACTGCTCACCTGCC